TGTAGATACAATTGTTTTCACTCTTGTGACTCAAGGACGCTAGCTTGTCAGCAACCTTGTTAGCTTCCCTCATGTAGTGAGTGGTATGAATATGGTGAGTGTCCAGCAAAAACTTGATCTTACTAATTGTGTCTTCAATTTTCCAAGGGCTTTGCCAGTTTCCCTGAATACAGTTCTGAAGTAAGAGGGAATCAGTTTCCCCTATGATCTTAGGGTGACCATTTTGAATGCACCAGTTAAGACCAAACAAGAGTGCATTGGCTTTTGCACAGTTGCTATCGCCTCTCCCCAAAGGTATACAAAACGCCATAATCACCTTGCCTTCCTTGTCTCTCACTACCCCTCCTCCTACGCAATTTCCTTCTATGCATGAACCATCGGTATTAAGTTTGACAAAAGGATGTAGCGATTTTTCCCATTTTACAGGAGTAGAGATGGTCTCTATCAGTTGAAGACCCAAAAGGTGAATAAAGTTGGGCCAATCATCAGGGAAGGAAATTTTAGGGAACTGGAGTTTGGAGTGTTGGATGATACTGAGGTTGATCAAAGTGGTAGATTTATGCATAGAGAGTTTTCATCTTCATACTTGACTCCACATCTGGATCTCCACAGTTTCCACATAATAATAGGGGGCATTATCTTAGTGGTGTACGAAGCTATAAATTTCTTGCATTTATAATTTCAGAAAGAGTGGAGAAGGCTCCTCAGTGATGTTGTCCTAGGGTTGATGCCTAGAGCTCTTGCATAGAAGCTCCAAATCTGTTCAGAAAAGTATCCAGAGAAGAAAATATGCTCAGCCGATTCTCATGTTGGTCTTCGTGCCTGCACAACAACAAATGGAAACAATCTTGCTATTTTGTCTTCAGTTGGAAGTTTGTTATTGATGGCTATCCAAGTCAGGAAATTTAATTTAAAAAGGACTTTGGGAAGCCATATTTTTTAGTCAAATGGAGAGATGGGACTTTTCTCCATGATAAGTTCCTAGGCAGTAGAAATGGTGAATTTTCCATTATCATTGCAGGTCTAGAAAGGTTTATCATCTATATTCGAGGTAATAGATACGTCTTGGTTGATAATAGTTTCCTTAACATTGTCAGACAATTGATGCTTAAGGTTATTCCAGTCCCATTGTCCATGTCTTAGCACCTCATTAACTTTAATGTTTTGGCTAACATTGATATCCTCCAAAACCATGTATAGAGGGCCTATACTTTGACCAATTGTCAAACCAAAAACTGATTTCTCCTTTGCCAATTTTCCACCAAATATTGTCTTCAACTTTCAGTCTTAATTCACTCATAGCTTTCCAATGGTGAGAGACACCAGGTCTCTAGATTGTGTTGATGGGGGTGAGTTGAACCACAATATTTATCTCTTAGGAATCGAGACTATAAACAGTTGGTAGTTCTGAGTTTCCACCAGTGCTTTATAGTAAAGGCTTTACAGACCTCATCTATTTTCCTGAAGTTCATACCTTCTTCTTGATAGGGGGAGCATAATTTCTTCCAGGTACGATTCCAATTGTGCAATTGTGCCTTTCGGGGGTTGAACCGTGGCTAAAGTGTGAATATTTAGGGTCATAAGGACATGTCTTATCAGGGTGGCTCTTCCACCAGTGGATAAGAACTTGAGATGCCATCCTTTGATTTTATTTATAACCTTGGTAACCATATCAGAGTAATATGAGATCAACTTCTTCCCAGAGTATAATGGACAACCAAGATATTTTATAGGCAGTTCCACATGTTTCATACCAAGTATTCTCCCAATTCTTCTGATGGAGCAGTGTTAGTAGACATGGAGAATGAGCTTTTGTCTTTGTTAATGAGTTGGCCAGAAATTTGCTCATATTTGGAAAATGTATTTAGGACTAGTTGAAGAGAAAGTTGATGACTACTACAGAATATGATTGTATCATCAGCAAATGATAGGTGGTTGATGTTGGGGTTTTGGTTGCACATAAAGAAGCTTTGATATCTAGGGTTATCGTGTAGGGCATTTAACATCATGGCTAAGAGTTCAGCAGTGAGTACAAAAAGAAAGGGGGATAGGGGGTCTCCTTGTCTTAGGCCTCTTCCTGACTTAAAAAAATCCTATCTTTTTCCCATTAATCACCATGGAGTACCAATTGTTGGAGATAAATCTGAAGATGAGATCAATCCATTTTTCAGAAAAGCCCATTTGTCTCATCATGAAACATAGGAATGGCCAAGATACCTTGTCATATGTTTTAGCCATATCCAATTTGATTACCACATTTTTCCCTTTCTTAGGTTTGGCAATGTCAGAGATGATCTCTTGGGCAAGCAGTACATTGTCAGCAAATGACCTCCCTTTAACGAAGCCACTTTGATTGTGACTAATGATTTTAGAGAGGATCCTGCTCAATCTGTTGTTGACGACCTTGGCAATGATCTAACAAGAGATATTACAAAGGCTTATAGGCCTGAAGTCTTTGAAGTCTTGGGGAGCTTCAACTTTAGGTAGTAGCACAACGCAAGTGTGGGTGAAGAATTTATGGAGATTAGCCCCTTGAAAGAAATATACGACAGCTTTATAGAGATCTTCCGCAATAATACTCCAGGCAGTTTGGTAAAATTTTCCATTTAGTCCATCGGGGCCTGCAGCACTGTCCGAGTCAATTGAGTAAACACTGTCTTTGATCTCCCGTAGGGTTGGAATAGCATTGAGGTCAGCATTGTCGTTGTTGCTAATAGATCTTCTTACCACTTCCAGAACAGTCTGATCCTCAGTAACATTTTCAGCAGTGAAAAGATTCTTATAGTATTTAACATCTGCCTCACCTACATCTTTGTTTCCCTCAACCCGATTTCCATTGTTGTCTTTGATTTTTTGAATGGTATGCCTTTTTCTTTTATATTTTAGGATTTCATGGAATAAAGTTGTATTGGCATCACCTTTCTTGTATCCATTTTACCCTTGCTTTTTGTCTAGTGATGTTGTCATAAAGCTTCAAAAATTTAGTATACTAATACATAAATATGACCCTTAACTTGGCTTCAACGGATAACTATGCCCTCCAACTTTGAGTGTGCACAAATAGACACTTAAACTTGTATAAATTGAACAAGTAGACACACGTGTCCTACATGGCATAATACATGTAGGACACCACATAGGACATAAAATTTTCATGTAAGGTGTCATGTAGAATGAATGTGTCTATTTGTTTAATTTTATACAAGTTTAAGTGTCTACTTGTGCATACCCAAAGTTAAAGGTCATAGTTGTCGGTTGACGCCAAGTTAAAGGTCATATTTATGTATTATGCCTTAATTATACATAGAATAGTTTGGTCTAACCCATCGGTGGCCCCTTAAAGTTGGCATGAAGTTTCAGTTAGACATATTAACTAGACGATGTTCATCTTATACACTTCATGTAGGATATCGATGTGTCATTTTGACACTTTTTTTCCAATCAACAAAAATATATGAGGTGTGTGTTACACTCGCGAATGACGTGTAAAGTGACTAATTAAGCGATGACATTTGTCATTTCTGTCAAAAACAATTCTTAAACAATAAATTTTGAATAAAAATAAAAAGCAATCAATCAATCAATGACATATGGATTTTTTCCCAAATAATTTTTTAAAAAAATTAAGCCAATAAATTCCCCCAGGACCCCACCCACCCCCACAGTCTTCTTCTCCAAACACCCTAGTCCATTTGCAGAAATATCACCCCCCACCCCACCCCTGTACCTATCGATTTGCAGAAATATTTCTTCTCCAAATACTTGCAAAAATATCTAGGAAACACTCCCACTCAAATGTCATTTTCTTTCTGTTTTTACCTTAATCACCAGATTCACAAAAAAAAAAAAATTTAACTCCTATGTAAATATTAAATTATTTCGGGAGAGAATCTCATGAATTAACTTACTAAGTAAATTTTGAAATGGGTCTATTTCTAAATTTCTAAAACAATTTCCATCATTTTTCATCAGTTTTCGGTAACTATTTTTGTTCTCCATCTTTGATTGTTTAAGTTTCAAAAATGGTGGCTGAAATGGGAAAGAAGAAGAAAAAAAAATGAAAAAGTCAACTAAATAGGTTTTCACGCACAGTCAACGAGTGTATTACACTCACTAAGTCATGTAAGCAAAAAGTGTCAAAATGACACAACAATTCCCTACATAAGGTATCTAATATGAACATTGTCCAGTTAAGGTGTTTAAGTAAAATTTTGTGCCAACTTTAAGGGTCTATTTATGCATTGTTTAATTTGATGCATTAAAAATAATAGGCATAATACATATATTGGACCCTAAACTTGACTTCAAATTTTAACTTGACCTCAACTTTCATAGTGCACAAATAGGCAACTGTAACTTGTATAAAATAGAAACAAATAGACACACATGTCCTACATGGCATCCTACATGTCATTTTTTGTCCTACGTGGTGTCCTACGTGTATTGTGTCATGTAGGACTCGTGTGTTTACTTGTTCTACTTTATACAAGTTAAAGTGCCTATTTGTGCACTATGAAAGTTGGAGGTCAAAGTTAAAATTTGAAGCCAAGTTTAGAGTCCAATATGTGTATTACCCCAAAATAATATGTATTGCATAAAAAAATATTTACAAAGACACCCTCTACTATTACTGTGGAAAAGATGTAAAAAAAAGGTTTTGAAGGATAATTGAGTCTTTTATCATGCTAATGCATGCATTAAAACAATCGCATTGCTAATACGTAGAAAACCATGATATTAACAATGCACACCTTAATACACAATAAAGTGCATAACTAATGCAAGTATTAGTTATGCATAGAATGGAAAAAAGTATCAAATAAGATACTAGTAATACACAAGACTAATGCATGCGTTGTTTTTCCTAATTTACTCTATCAAATGATACCGCATTTGAGATCATGGATGAAAGGTGAGAGTAAAAATCATAACAAATATAATCTAACCTCTATCTAAATTTGTCGATGATATTATAATTTTTTTAATCCACATTGAATGTGGTGCAACAATCCACCACTAATCTTGCAATAGTTATAAGTTCACCAACTAAACTACCCTTATTGACTATTTGGGACCTCTTCTCTAATTTATCCTTAGTTGTATATTGTAGTTTGAAACTTTGATTTTCATTTTCTCATTTGCTACTGAGAATTAGCATTAACTTAGCCAACCAGAAGTATGACAGAAATCCTATACACTCTTGCAGCTGAAATCTTGATGAAGTTGGGTTCCCTAGCAGCCCATGAGCTTGGATCATTATGGGGCCTTAAAGATGATCTTTCCAAGCTCAGAGATACAGTTTCTGCCATGGAAGCAGTATTTCTTGACGTAGAGGAGAAGCAAGGGGATAGCCGTGAGGTCAAAAATTGGGTCCGGAAGCTCAGAGCTGTGTTTTTCGAGGCTGATGACTTGTTGGATGACTTCTACACAGAGATTACTCGGCGTAATTTGCTGATGCAGAAAAACCCATCAAAGAAAATTTCTATTTTCTTCTCGAAATCAAATCCTGTTCTGTATAGTCTTGAGATCCATCAGCGTCTCAAGGTTATTAGAAGGAAACTTGAAGCAATTGAGAAAGACAAGCATATGTTGCACCTTGTTGAAAAGCAAGTAGTTGATTTTGAGCTTCCAGATAGGGAGACTCATTCCTTTGTGAATGTTGACGAAGTAATCGGAAGGGAAGATGAGAAAAGGGTAACCGTCGATCGTCTACTAGATGTTCGAGAAAATGTTTGTGTGGTTCCTATAATTGGTATTGGGGGACTTGGCAAAACAACACTTGCACAACTTGTTTATAACGAGGACAGGGTTAAGAAACATTTTGATCTGAGAATTTGGGTGTTCGTTTCGCATATTTTTAATGTGAAACTCATTGTGGAAAAGATGATAGAATCTATCACTGGTATGAAACCTCAAAGCCTCCATTTTGACAGGTTGCAAGACCAACTTAGAAAGGAAATTGATGGTAAGAAGTACCTCCTTGTTTTGGATGATATGTGGAATGAAAATCGCGAAATTTGGTTGAAATTGCAGGATCTTTTGATTGGTGGTGCTAGAGGAAGTAAAGTATTGGTGACCACTCGATCAGGACTAGTTGCAGCAGCTATGGGTACTGCTCCACCATGTAATCTAAAAGGTCTGCCTGAAGACATGTCTTGGTCCCTGTTTAGTAAATTAGCATTTAAGCCCGGCGAAGAAATAAATTCATCTCTAGTGGCAATTGGAAAGGAAATACTGAGAAAATGTGCTGGTGTTCCTTTGGCAATAAGGATCTTAGGGAGCTTTTTGTATTATAAAGAGACTGAAGCTGAATGGTTGTATGTCAAAAATCATCAACTCACAGACATGGCGGAAAGTGCAGACATTGAAATTTTGCCAATTCTAAAGTTGAGTTATGATAATCTTCCTATACACTTGAAGCATTGTTTCAGTTATTGTTCAATATTCCAAAAGAATCAGACCATTAGCAAGAAAACCTTGATTCAGTTATGGATAGCCCAAGGTTTTATCAGATCAAATGATGAGGAAAATGAATGTCAAGAGGATGTTGGAGAACGTTACTTCATGGGTTTGCTGAGAAGGTCCTTTTTTCAGGATGTTAAAGAGCATAGGTTGGGCGATATCATCAGCTGCAAAATGCATGATCTGATTCATGACCTAGCAAAAATGGTTGCAGAGAATGAGACTTTGATGCTAACTTCTGCAGGAAATAAATCTAGTGTTAATATTTGCCATTTGTCAGTTGGTCCTGTTCACGATTCAGCATGGGAGCTCCCTCACTCCTTGCTCAAAGAAAAAAATTTACGCACGTTTTTAATGCCAATTGCATCAAGGGATTACCTGAAATCGGGAAGATTTATTGGGTCCGAGAAACAAAGTAAATCAGTTGTGGATGCAGTTATATCGAATTTCAGGAGCCTAAGAGTATTGGATCTACATGGCTTGGGAATCAATGAAGTGCCAGGTTCTGTGAGCATGTTGAAGCATCTAAGGTACATCGACCTATCTGAGAATAATTTTGTGACACTTCCAAAATCAATGAGCAAACTGCTGAATTTGCAAACTCTAAAGCTGTCTTATTGTTTTGACCTTTGTGAACTGCCAGAAAATATTCACAAAATGGTAAACATCCGACATCTAGAGCTTGATGGTTGTTTGAATTTGTCCAAAATGCCATGTGGGATTGGACAATTAACTGCTCTTAGGACTTTATCGCAGTTTGTGATAGGTCAAGAAACCTCTACGAGTTCTAAAGTCAATGCAGTGTTAACCGACTTGAATGGTCTTGTCAAGCTAAGAGGAAAATTAACACTTAGAAATTTGGGCTGCATAGAGTGTTTATGTCCTAAAATTAATGATGCTGTTTTGAAGAACAAGGAATACTTGCAATCACTGAGATTAGAATGGACATACGAAGCCGTCAATGATGAATATGATGAGCTGTTATTGGAAGGCCTTCAGCCACATGAAAATTTGAAGGTACTTTTCATAGAAAGATACGGAGGTCAAAGTTTCCCAAAATGGATGATGGTTGGCTTGCACTCATCACTACCAAAGTTAACAAAACTTACTCTGAAGAATCTGAAAGTATGCAAAAGTCTTCCACCATTTGGGTGTCTTCCCTCTCTCCAATCCCTTAAACTTGAAAATTTGACCTTGCTAGAGTACATTGAACATACTTCCTATGATGGATCTCAATTTGGAATGGAGCTACAAAAAGGATCTGCAATGTATTTTCCATCATTGAAAGAATTGAAACTCTGTAACTTGCCTTGCTTGAAAGGATGGTGGAAAAAAGAAGTAATGGCTGGTAGTGAATCATCGTCATTTCCTAACCGGCTCCTACTTTCATCATTTCCTTCACTCTCCAAGCTGACCATCCAAGATTGCCTTATGCTTGAGTTCATGCCAATTAATCCACGTCTCGAGGAATTGAACTTGATCAGAGTTGGCAATAAACTTTTGCAACAACTAATGATGCTTCTGGAAACAACATTGTCTGCAAATTGTTCATCTTTCCTTGCTGTCTCAAAATTGAAATCATTGTACATTCTTGATGTGAGAGAGTTATTCCTTTTACCAGAGGGATTGCAAAATTTGAGTCGGCTTGACCACTTGGAAATCAATGGTTGTCCTAACCTATTGAGTTTGCCAATAGAAGGAATGCGAGCGTTGAATATGCTCCGGTTTCTGCATGTTCATGACTGTGGGTTAACTTCTTTATTTCAAGCTATAAAGCATCTCTACGCTCTTGAAACACTAGTGATTAGCTCCTGCAAAGAGATGAATTTATCAACTGACAATGATCAGGAATATCTGCAATTTGAAGGCCTAAAAAGCCTCCATACAGTATACATCCAAGAGATACCGAAATTGGTTCATCTTCCAGTGTGGCTTCAGTATCTTCCTTCTTTGCGGGCGTTGCATATAGAGAAGTGTTATAGTTTACTGGACCTACCTGACTGGATCAGTGATCTAAAATCGCTTCATGCGCTTTTCATCTACAAGTGCCCAAAATTGACATCAATTCCTGCAGGAATGGTTCACCTTACTTCCCTTGAAGAACTCCGAATTCTCATGTGCCCTAATCTCTGGACATGCTGTCAAAACGAACAAGGAGAGGACTGGCCTAAAATAGCTCATATTCCAAAAGTTATTGTGAAGTGAGGCTAAGATATGCATATTGTTGTGCTACCATCTTAGATGCAGTAAATGCTTTCAGTTTACATGGTAATCTTTAATCTCGTCAATAATATTTATTTATTTATTATTATTTTTTTCCTGCAAATTTACCACTAGACAGCACTAGACAGTGTCTAGTGGCCTTTTATTAAACATAAAAAATATCAATAGGGATAAGTGCAAGCAAGGGGGGCTAGGCCTCACCTACTAATCCTAATGAAGTATCTAACGTCTACTACCTAACAAGCATGAAGAAAATAAGAACTAGAGAGAACTAAGTATTTTCTGATCACCACAGAGTTAGTAATACACTCCATGATGATATTACAAACGAGGATGCTTAAATAATGTAAAAATATGTCAATCAAAAAGAAAGTTGAGTTATCAGCCTCAAACTTTCTATTACAAACGCATGAATTAAAAAAGATTGATTGCCCATCAAAAGTAACTAGAAGTATTTTTCTCGTCTTCTTCTTCAAACCTATCCAACAACACTTGATAATTCATACTTTCTTTATGAATTTATTGGATCTTGTTGAACCTATTGATACTGTCAAATGGTTCTGTTTTGCCTGTCGCATCGATAGGTGTCTTGGAACAAACTCCTCAGTCATTTTACCGTCCCAACTATGTTGTCTTCCATTGTGTCTCTTTTTGCTTTTGTTGCTTCCACTTCTTTGTTGCCTAGGTGATATATCTCCTTCCCTAGCCACTCTATCAAAGCATATGTCCAGCATATCTTCCTCATCTTCATCAAGAGAATCCTCGCCCAAATCAATTGTATTTGACACTAAGGCCCTTGACTCATTCTTCTTTGCAATCACACATTTAGGCACAAATACAAGAGCTTTTGGACTTAATTTGCTATTCAAAGTAGGTGGCGAGACCTGCTTTTCTTGGATCAAATCGTTGTCATTCTCTGTTAACTTTACTTGCTTTCCAGTAGTCTTCGATAAAGCATCAAAGTTATTCGAACATAATAGGTCTCTTGAGGCATTACTAATATCTTGCCTCTTCTAACTGTCATGAAAATTTCTAGTCGCACCCTTTTCACTACATGGAGAATTATTTTGACTAGTTGGGGAAAGGCTCCGATTACTAGTTGAATTTTTGTGTGCAACCAGTTTCCAATTTTTTGTTGCATTCTTGGTTTCAACTTTCAAAACATGCTGCCCAGAATTTTCAGCATCTTCAACATCAGATGTATCCATTAGTTTGTGTCCTGAATCCATTATTTTTTTGTCTGAACCAACTCGCGGCGCATCAACCTCAACTCTTGGCGTTTCCCCTTTGTTTTCGGTAGTTGTTTGGACACCAATATTACTTGTAACAACATCCATTGAGTGTGCATGATTTTACTCAGAAGTGACAACAACCAATTGTTGATCTAAAGAAGTAGCTTTACTTTGATCGACATCTACAACCTTTCTTTTTCATTTAGTATTTTTCTCGCATCACCTTGATACTTTTCACTATCGATAGTACCTTTTGAAGCAACTTCAATGGTATCATCAATTTGTTTGTTATTTTGATTTCTTTTCGAGATCAAATGACAACTATCTTCATCATGACCTTGGTGCTTACAATAATTGCAATACAAAGGTAGATTATCATATACAATCTCCTGAAAAACCTCGATCAACTTACTAGATTTTCCATCCACAAACTGCAATCTTATACGATTTGGAAGCTTTTCCATTAGATCAAGTATAACCTTGACCCTAGCTGTGCTGGGTCTTGACTTGATTTGCGTAGCTTTATCTATAGCTATTGGTTTCCCAACTGTTGATGCTATAGACAGCAGAGACTTCTTTGCAAACAAATCTGGAGATAAGTTTGGTAAAGAAATCCAAACCACAGCTAACATCGTTTCCTCCTTAGGATTATATCCAATGGACCATGGAAAAACCCTACATTGGTGCTCCTCTCCATTGTAGAGAAGATAATTAACTGAGCGAGATAAAGCTAGTACATAATCTTCATATTGATTAAATCTCAACAAAATTTGTCTTGGAGCAAGTAAGCCAATTAAACAATTGCCCTTGGTACCAAGATGTTTCGGTAAAATTGACCTTAATACCTTCAAATCTGGCACACCATGGGATAATTTAAACACCACTGCTTGATGCAATCCCTCTTCAATTATAAAGTCTTGCCTTTCCTCCATTGAAAACGTGATAGTAGGTTCTCCATGAATTATTTCGATTGATTTTGCGATTGTTTTTGAGTTAATTAGAGCAAATTGTTTAGGATATATAGTATTGGAATTGAAAAGGGTGGCGTATGTGGTGGTTTGGGGTGGTGGGGCGGGCTGGACAGCCTCGAAAGGAGGCCGTAGCAGCCATGAGAGCTGCGCAACTGCTGGCTAGGAAGGAACCCTAGGTCAGCCGTTTTTTTGAATCTCGTAATACTACTACTCAATAATATACATATGTTTTCTGTTTCCTGTCTCATGTCTATTTTATGTCAGCAACTTTTGTTTGTCAATGATATCCAAGCTTGTTGTATTAGTGATTTTCATCTGCATCTCCAGAAAGACTCAAGACATTTGCTATTGTGTGTTAAATAGATTGCATTGGAAAATGATGCTCTTTTTGCATCCATAAGTGTGACCTAGTGGTCAATAAATTGGGTTGAAAACCATATGGTCTCAAATTCAAATCCCGCAAAAACACTAGGTGATTTCTTCCAATCTATCCAAGCCTCGGAGGATAGAGTGACCCGATACCTATGCTTGTGCGAGGTAGCAGGTATCCCTTGGAATTAGTTCAGGTGTGCATAAGCTGGCATAGATACCACAATTATAAAAGAATATTTCTCTCTCTTATACTCGATACTTCATTGGCGGAAAAATTAGGCCATGGACCAATTTTCTGTGTTATAATGATACTGCTTTTACTGGTTTCTCCGTGTAAACAGTGAATTGATTCCAATATATGTAGATTTTAAAGATTATCTGGCTTATAAAAAGGTAGAAAGTTAGCGCATTAGCAAGAAATTACCAGAAAACCTTAAGTATTATGTTTCCTTTGTTTTGTGAGATCTTGCATTTTTAATGTGGCTATCTTTTTTACTTAATGTTTTCTCAATCATTTAGCAGGTTATTTTAGTCACCTCTGTAGTGGAAAAAAAGGCAGCGAGTTGTAGATATTTGATCTTATTCTATTTGTCAGGTGATACACATAACTGTGAAGTCTCTTTTTATGATCTGCTGTCGCTTGATATTGTGGTCAACTATTATTTTCAGTATAAGCTGATATTTTTTAAAGGGTATTTCTGGTGATTATTGTGCTGATCCCTTGTGACAGAAGTAACTCTTGGGTTATACTATATCTTAGTTTGATTGCGATGATATTTTTATCTCAATTGGATTTACTTAGAACCATTGCAAGAATTGATTGATAAACTTTTGTCTGTTCTTTTCAAGTTCTATTTTTGTATCAGAACTGTACATTTTTCCCTGTCTGTGTTTCACCAGCAGGATACAAATAGTCTCTCTGCTGTTTGTTTATGTCAATCTTCATTGTGTTCACTTATCTTTACATCAATTAATCGTTTCCCTTTCCTACATGTTCAGGTGTTTTTGAGTGAACTAAGAAAAGTTCAGATATGTGAAGTTTTTAATAAATACAATTTTGTTTCCTCAAATGTTCCTGTAATGGAAAAGTTATTGTCCTTTTAGCTTGGCTACTTCAGAAAAGTAGTTTTTGTTTTAAAGTGAAAAATGATAACTCGAAATTGGAGTTGTTTCTGAATTTGTGAGTAATTTGGAGAGGAAACAGCTTTTTGGTATTTTTCAAATTACTGAAGTTCCAGAATTTTATGGCCAAACGTGATCTCCGGAAAAAAGTACCAAAATTTCATTGCCAAATGCCCCCTAACATATCAACAACAGCAATAGGTGCATGATAGATTGACGCGTACATCTCAACTGAAATGTTTTCTATCAGAACCATTAGTCCATTACCACTCACTGTCTCATTTGTTTCCTTCTAGAGTTTTGGTTGAGGTGAAGCCAAATTTGTAACTGAAATGCATGTTTTTAGTATTTCACCAAAAGAGAAGCAAATAAATATTTAAATTTATTTATTTATTTTAGGAGTTATTTTATCATGTCAAATTTTATTTAATGAAAAATTTAGTTGAGTGATTTTATTGATACAAAGGCCTAAATTAAGTGATTTTATGGATGCAAAATAAATTTCAATGACTTTATTAAATAAATTCCTAAAGTTGAGTTAACTTTTGAGATATTATCATATCTTTAATTTAACATTACAAGATTCAAAAGTTTTTTTTACTTTTTTAAACTCCGTGTTAAGTTCAAACATGACAAACAAATTGAAACGAATGAAGAAGGAAATATGACAACCATTTTGATATACAACTCGAGCCTTAATGCAGCTACATAAGATGAGTATTATATATCAAGGCTTTTGGATATTTTGATTTGATTTAGCATTAAGAAATAATAAGACATAAATTCTGATTTGTTTAATGTTAATTGTTAAGGGGACATACTAGTTTATTTTTGCCTCCTAATTTATATTTTTTGTATTATAATATAATATAAGTTATGTATTACAAGACATAACAAGTTATGCTCGCTTATTTCTACAATATTTGTGTCGTTGGAGAAATAAGTTCAATTCAAGGCAATTTTAAAAAAAAAAACTTATGACGAGCGAATTAAACACTACATAACTTATGTTGGTAACATAATTCCTACAGAACTTATGAGAGACAAGGCAAAAATTCTCTATGCTTATGTTTAACGAAATTAGGTCATAGATAAGGATACTTTGTCTCACAAATTTTCATTAAATGTGCAGTAGTAGTAACAAAAATTAAAATCTATCTTATTTGAGGGCAAAAATTAAAGATTACAAACCCCCACCCCCCAAAAAAAAAAATTAAGAGCATTCTATGCTAGAATTGGGCTCCCAAAAATCTTGAGGAACAAGAATCTATAATATATCAACTAACTTGTGAAATAATCCGACTGTAACATTGTTTTGTCATAGAAAATAGAAATGATTTACAAGTCCGTTTTCAGTCGCAAAGTGCGGTCCACAGTCCACGCATAAAAAAATTCAAAACAAAAGAATTTAATTGATGATATTAACAAGAACATTTAAATTAAGGTCGAATTTCACGGGTTCAACTTATAATCAGTTTTTTTCTTTGCTTATAAACACGTATATATGCATACATGATACAACATCAACACTCATGTCTCAATCCCAAACAAATTGAGATATGATTATATATAAGATAAATACTATGTATGCATATGAAAAGGATTAAAACAAATTAACTTTGAAATCGATAAACTCTAGATCTTGCTATCCCGATCAAATCGACGAAGATTTATTGCATAAATTTTGTTAGTTTGTCTTGTGTGGAAGATAAGTTGTACAAATTCTCTACATCTTTAATAATTGTTAGTGGGCCGCTTACAATTGTCACTTCACCCAGGCTCTTAGATCGTTCTTGACTTTGATAATTAGTAGAAGGAACTTTTTCCTCCTAGATAATTCTCCCAACATTCAAAATCATCTTTTTCCTTCGAGCATATATAATTCTCCCAAAATTAGTAATCATCTCTGAAATCTAACACCACATGTTCAGCAGCATCCTTTGGGAAATTACTAGTTGTCACTTCAATATTCTTCGATGGTAACACATCTACACAATTGTGTTTTTGGTGAATCTGTTGAAAGATGATTGATCTTGAAAGGGGGATTTGCTTTTTCATTAAACAACGCATCACCTGTCTTTTTTATGTCTAATAACTTCTAAGGATGACTCCATGACAACTTTGTGAATTCAACTAGATCGATTTTGTGTGTATATATACTACTGGTATTTGTGTTAGCACAAATGCTTAATAAATTTATTTAGTTTAAATCCAAACTCCAAGATTGTAGGGAAATAAAAAATCGATTCTACTTGATAAATCTAGAGTATGTCAATTATTATTTGTCAGTTTATGGTATATTTGATTTGAATCACGTTGCTCTTGCTTTAGATAAACTAGTAGGAACTTCTCTCCTTCAATTAGTATTGACTCAAAAATTAATCTGCTCATCACCCAATATTATTTTATTTCAGAATGGAATTAATATAAAAAATTAGTTAATTTCAGAATGGAAAATTACACAAAAATCTTAAAATGAACTTCTGATAGTGTACAGGTGAGGAAATTATCAATTCAGAAAGCTGTCCGAAGCTATTACTACAGTCTACATGAGATAAGTATATATTATTCATCAAGGCTTTTGGATATTTTAATTTGATTTAGCACTAAGAAATAATAAGACATAAATTCTGATTTGTTTAATTTTTTTTAAGGGAGCATACTGCTTTATTTTTTTCCCCTGGACAATAATTTTTGTCCTTAGACATTAGTCTATTTTTTTAATGATAATATAATATAAGTTATGTCTTACATTTCTACCACACTTGTGTCATTAGAGGCACAAGTTTAGTTCAGAACCCACAAGGCAAAAAATTTCTAAATTTATGCAGATCGAATTAGAATACTACACAACTTATGTTGGATATCTTATGACAAACAAAGCAAAAGTTCTCTATTAATTAGTCACAAAGCGCGGCACATTTATAAACGAATTCAAAACAATATAAACTAATAAGTGACAGTAACAAGCACATTAAAGTAAGACCGAATTTCGTGGCTTCAATTTATAATCACTGTTTTTTTTTTTCAAATCATGTATATATGCATACAAAAATAACATTCATGTCTAAGTTCCAAACAAGTCAGAATTTGACTATATATATAGGACGAAAACTGTGTATGCATATGAAAAAAAAAATTAACTTTAAAATTGATTAACTCTAGATCGTGACTATCCCGATCAAATCAAATAAGATTTTGTTGCATAAATTAATTGATCATGTCAATTGTGGAAGAGATAAGTTGTAGACATCTTGACTTGAATTCATTACATCTTCAATGATTGCTGATGGGCCGTTTACAATTTCCACTTCGTCCAAGCTCTAGAAGCAACTTCTTCCTCCAAGCACAGATAATTCTCCCAAAATCCATAATCATCTTTTACCTCCAAGGTTTGATAATTCTCCCAAAATCCATAGTCATCTCCAAAATCTAACACAACTTGTTCAGCAGCCGCCGCCTCTGGGAAACTACTAGTTGTCACTTGAACATTCTTCGAATTGATTTTTGGTGAATTCCTTCGAAGGGGATTCGACTTTTTGTTGATCAGTGCATCATCTGACTTTTTATGCCTAACACCTTCTAGAGATAGCTTCATGACAACTGTTTTATGAATTGAACTAGATCTATTTTTTATATATATAGACTACTAGGATTTGTGTTGGCACAAAAGCCTAATTAATTTTGTTTCCGTTTAAGTCCAAACTCCGAGATTGTAGAGAAATAAAAATTTAGTCTAAACTAAAGCATGTTAATTATTATTTGTCCGTTTATGGTATATTTTTTGTATCACGCTGCTCTTATTAGAAATAATACATATGCTCTTATATTCTCAAAGACGTTACAAGCCCATCTGATCATAATGAATCAGCCACAATCACTCTCTCATTGGTTGAAAAGGTTACTCCCTGGATTTGAAGCAGGAAAAACAAGCATATTTCTGAGTCTTTTTAGTACTTCATCAGAAAATGCAGAATATATAAACTGACTTTCTAAATGCATATGCTCTTCACATTACCAGGCTTCTCCTCGTTTTCTGAGGGGACATTATTGGGTTCCTCTTCTGCGTTCGTACTCTCAGGTTGTTCAGTACTAGGAATTTCCCCATTTTCCTTCTTAGGTACGTCCCCATTTTCTGATATACTATTGACCTCTGGATTACGAACTGGTTTTGGAAGTTCTCTGGAGGAAGAGGTTGCCAATAATCGGCTAATTCCGTCGAATAGAGTTGTGGCATCGGCTATAAGAGCAGCTCCACCAGGATAACAACGACCAAAACAAGTAACACAGTGTGGGAAAGCAACCTGGAAAGGTACATAATTTGTATGTTTGAGTCAACTGGTGCACAAATTAAACGTACATGAAGGTCAAACAAGTTCATATGATGCTACCTCAATAAATGCTCGACATAGTGATAGGAAAAGCAGAGACTCATTTTCTCGAAGCATGCGAGTAGTGTTATATCTCAGTAAAGCATCAGAAACAGCCTGCAATCCTTTCGCCAGTTCTTGTGCAAGCACATGTTTTAAACTCAAGGGAGCACAAGGTCGTAACTCATTCATTGCCGCAGAGACACCTGCAAATTATATACGGAGGATGCAAAAACAACTGGATTAGTGTAAAAGGACTATATATAGCAATTAGTTGAATCATAAGCCGACAATATTCTTTCCCCTTTTTTGAGCTTTAAACATAAAGCCAAAGGTGGTTTGATCAGTGCAAAGGTCAATAATTCTTAGTAGTTGGTGAAGCTATTGTCTTAAAGATGCCAAATTACAGTGGCCAAACTGGCTTTCTTTTGTTCATTTTTTATTGGTGCTGATGGACCCGTG